TACTGGGAATTGAACTCATGACCTCGTGCTTGCCAGGCAGGCACTGTGTTGTTGAATTATATTCCCAGCCCTTTAAGACATTATTTTTTGAAATATTTCGTTTACCTGTACTTTTTCACCTTTCCTTTTGATATTTTGCTGACTTCTTAATTATCTCCATTCTGCTAATGTGCACATTCTACTGATTTTTAAAAGTTCAGTTGTATTTTCCAGCTTCAAAATTTCTACTTGTTTCCTTGTTGTATCATCTGTTCAGAAGCTCCAGGGGCACAATTGGTTAGCTCATGGTGTTTATATATGGTCTCTATTCATTTGATGCCACTTTCTGTCTTTCCAGTTGTTTTAAGAATATTTGCCTTTATTTTTGTGGTAGTTTTCTAATACCTTCTTTAATATCCTTTTTCAGACATGAATGTCCTGTTAGCATTGTTATATGTTAGTTATATTTTTCTCACATAAGTTTACTTTTTATTTGTTCTTCATATGTCAAATTTAAGATTATATCTTGAACATTATGAGAACGTTATTATGAGAACGTTATGAGATTCTGAATTTTGTTAAGTACTATGGAAAATGTTGAAGTAAAATATGTAATCAGGCAGTTGATCCAGTTGGATTTATACAGAAAATTTTGCCTTATCTTCTTTTAATATTGCTTAAAGACTCTGTAGTGTTCTTCAGATCTGTCCTACGTGTGCACTTCTCAGAGGACAGTCTGTGACATTGATACTGGTCTATTTCTTAGAAACACCATAAGAAGAGTGATCCTTCAAACTTTGGTCTTCTGTCCCAGTTTGCCTGCTATTATCTAATTTTCAGAGTCCTCAAATTTCCATGCATTTTGCCAGGATTGATGGCATTGAGGGGGAATGAAGAGTCTATATTGTATAAGTAGAACCTTGTGTCACTTTTTAATGTTTGAAAACTTTTGTTTAAATATTTCTTATCACACTTTTCTATCATCTCTAGTCTCTTATTCCACATCTCTCAGTGGTCATGTTTTGCATCTCTAACATTTATGTTTTTCATTTTTTAAAAATCAGCTTGCCATGCTCTAAGTAATACTCTCAGATTTGATATTTTTCATTCTCAATTTTTTGTTCAATATTATTAGCTATACTTTTAATGCTGTTTGGTATGCCTAATGGATTTTATTAAGAGTATTTACTTTAGGTAAGTAATATTATTTTGATTATTTTTAAATAGGCCTAATATTTTCTCATACAGTTTTGTTCTTTGAATATTTCATTTGTATGCTGTTAGAGAAATCTCTGATCATTTAAAAATATTTGTTTTAAATTATTACATTTAAAGAGTGATATTCTGACCTCATGAGATACTGTTTTCTCTGTATTTGTTAGGTATGTTTCATGTTATTTTATTATTGTTTTTATTATTGTTATTGTATTTATTATTGTTATTATTATTATAATTGCTAAGCAGGAATTTTCCTCCGATGTGGCACAGTTTGGGGAAGGTTGCTTAAGAGATTTTATTTATTTATTTATTTATTTATTTTTTATTTATGTTTTGAGATGGTTTCTCTATATATAACACACTGGCCTTAAACTTACTATGTACTCTGGACTGTCCTTGAACTTGTGGTGATCCTCTTGCTTACCCTCCAGAGTGCTGAGATTACAGGCATGCACCACCGAATTCAGAAGTTTCATACTTGCTTCTTTAGAAGACCTTGGGAGAGTTATGATGGTTTTTGAGTTTAGAATTTCTGTAGCAGTGAGGAATATAATTTTGGGCCTTGTAAATAAGATTTAACATATACTACAGGTGATTTTTGTTTTTCCACTTACAATCATGTGCAGTTGGCAAATATTTTTGCTACTTCAGGGCAATGTGCAAAGATTTTAATGTTTCTTTTTATAGATAGAGCAATCCTTCCAAGTTCCCTATACTTATCAGACGGATTAGTAATAGCCTCACCCTTTCTGACCTTCACAGTAATTTATTTTTTCTAGATCTTGTTTGGATGTTAAAATCTCTGTTTTTGTAGTGTCTGAAACCTTGTGTTCTACCATCTCCTAGTCATTGTATAAGCTTTTGCTTTCTTTGCCAGTCTCTATCTATGTCTCTTTTTCTAGTATCTGGGTTTTTTTCTTTTCTTAATTTAAATATATGTATAGGTAGAAAACACTGGGCATTTTATTTAGCTTTGATCAGTGTGGTAGGGAGAGATCTCTTGAAGAACAAAAGAGTCAACTATTTTAACTGAACTTTTCATTTTGTGGCTAATATGTACTTACTTTTCTGTAGATTCTGTAAAAAATTAACACTAAAAGAATACTAACTTATGCAAAAAGAGTGCTAAAATTAAGTTAGTAGCAGCCCTATGTTCTTTTCTGAAGGTTCTCTGAGATATCTTTCTCTTTGTCCTTTCTGGTTTCTAGAAGTTGTTCAAGTTTCTTGTACTTCTGTGTTCATCTTTCTTTATATGCACCAACATCAAATCAAATGCTCCTCACATTATTCTGATTTCTTCTGCCTCTTTCTTCCATACTTAAGGATCTTTGTGATTAGTCATAGCAAGATAATTCAGGAGAATCTCCTTATTTTATGGCCATGAGAACAAGAATCCTAATTCTATCTGCAACTTTAATTCCTCATATAAAGTATCATTCACAGGTTCCAGGGATTAGAACATGAAAAACTTTTTGGGGAAGATGGGGAGCAATAGGGAGGGGTACTATGCTTCTCACAATAATTGCAAGAAAAAATTAACATTTTCTGAATAAAAGAGTTTCAGTGTAGTTGATACGCTATACAGGAATACCATGACCTAATAGAGTGGTACTGTTTTTATATTCTAATTGAAGTAGTAACATGTGGACGCAGGTAGAATGTGAAAATTTGGGTATGTATATTGTTTTCCTTAGAATGCTAATTTAGAAAGCAACAAAAAGAGCTATAATCAAACAATGCACAGATACAATGAAATACTGAATATACAGGTATATAATAGATAGAGACCAGAGAGGCTACTAATGATCCTACAAGGCACAGAAAAATCCCAACAAAGAATTAATTATCCGAACTCCAAATGTCAGTATCTCTATGAGTACCTGTCCTAATATAATGACTCATCTTTATTATGGTTTTCTAAACTTTATACTTTAGTTTTACCTAAATAACTGTCACTTCCAACTCTACTCATATTTTAATGGTTTCCATAATATCTAATTGGGTTGGGTGGTTTAAGAAGCAAAGTCAATGGAATAATTGGGGGTAGAAACACCATCCTTCTAGAGAGAGTCTGTTGTCTTGTCTGTTGACAACAATAGAGACAAGCCCAGTGTCCACCAGCTGTCAGTATATTATCAGGATAGAAAGTACTCCTAGTTTTATGAATTGAATGAAACTAGGATACAAGAACTTCTGTATATAAATATTGTTTGTATGTGTATTTATAGTCTCTCACTTTCACTTCCAATAGAACTTTAAATACCAGCATTATTTAAAATTTATTTTGTGTAACTTTTGTAGCTACAGTATTTTTATAGCTTAATGTTTTGAATGTAGTGCTATAGAAAAAACATAGAGTGCATAAAGAACAATATACAATATAAAAACCATTGTTAAACTTCTTTCATTCTGTTTTGAAGACCTGTATTGTTAATGTTTTGAGTCTGCTGTTGTTTATGCCTTTTGCTTTTTGTTTTTCTTTTCTGACTTTTCTCTTTTTTAAATAAAAAATTCCAAGAATAGAAGTAGAATACCCTTCTCCATTATAGTGAAACACTTTACACACACAGACACACATATACACACATATGCACACATGTATACACACACAAATGCGCTCCAAAACACGCTGTGCAGCCTGGAGCCAGGGACTGCCTCCTTAAACATTCTGGTATAACTTTGTAGAATCTAGTCAGAGATGTCACAGTCCCCTTGTTTGGATGGAAGATTAAGGAACTGAATTGATCTTTGCAAAGATTAGTATTTTAATCACTTTTGAAAACTATAACTTTTCCAAAAATTGAGGTGGGATGTCTTTCCTAAAAATTTATCTCGAAGTTCTAGAGAACTCCGTTGAAGAATATTATATGCCATTGAGTTTAATACACTTTTTTCTGCTACGAAACAGATTACAAATGACTTCACTTTTATGGTTCTGTGAATGTCGAAGGGCGGATAGAGCCTGCTTGAGTGTGGTTTGTGATTGGGCTGGCTTCTCTCTTGAGCTTGGACTGAAGTCTTTTCCTTCTGATTATTGCCTGTCTGCCTTTCTGTCTGTTCATCAACCCACCTACCTATCATCTATGTACCCTTCCTACCATAGCTTTGTTCCTTTGACTCCTGATGCTTTGTTTGTCTTGTGGCACTGGGTTCTGAGCCTTGGGTTTGGCAGGGGGCGCACCAGGTCCGGGAGCTGTCCAGCAACCCCTGGTGAAGTTCTCTTCTAGGCTCTCCAGCGCCCCGCCCCGGGCAGGGAACCTCTCTAGTAGGGCCCCCAGCCTGTCCCAGGCCCGCCACGCATCTCCGCGAGCCTCAGTTCCATCTCCGGAGTCTAGCGTACACTGGCTGCCTCCTTCCCTATGCCCCTGAGGAGATGCCTCGCTTTCCGCGGCTGCACAATGCAGCTCTTCCTCCTTTGCCTGTAAGAACAGCGGAACGCTTGTCCTAGCCTTGCCTCCTGCGGCTGGGTGTTCCTGGCTCTAGGTCTTGCAAGACAAGCACCCAAAATCGAGGGTGGGAGCAAAGACCGCCCATCAACTTAGCACCTTGAATTTAGGTCTTTGGATCACGCAAGGAGACTGGTGTTGCGGGGTCAGCGAAGGAGGGTGTGAGGAGGCAGAGGCTGCAGTGGCGCCGGGGCTCGCGGGAGCGGGCTGGGGACCGAGCAGCCGGTGCGGGGGAGCGCCGGCCTCGCCCTGGCAGCCCCTCCTTCTGCTTCTCTCCCCGCCCCCGGCCGCCCCGCCCTTCCCGGAGGAGCAGTCTCTCCGCGCGCGTCTCCAGGCTCTCTCCATTGTCTCTGCCTTTACAACAGGTTCAGGCGGCGGGGAGTAAGGGCAGTGCGGGCCGCCTCCCTTCCTCAGGGTGTTTTGAGTCCTCGCCTCTTTCGGCTCAGGCGCAAATTCCCGGGCGGAGCAGGTCCCCGCGAGCAGAGCCCTCCCTCCGGCCCCCTCTGGCCGCGCCGCCGCCTGGGCTCCGCGTGGGGGAACCATGAGCGCATCGCCGGCTCTAAGTTCTCCACGCGCTTGGGGGGGCCGCCCTTTTCTTTCTTAGGCAACCAAATCGTATTAATCTTCCAATTTAATTAATCTGAGGCAGCAGCAGGAGACGCAAACGCTATTTTCCCGCTTGATTCCAAGACCTCTTCGATTTTTATTTTTATTTTTAAAGAGCAAGACGATGGACTGAGCATATCCGCACCATGGAGTCTCGGGTCTTACTGAAAACATTCTGTTTGATCTTCTGTCTCGGAGCAGGTGAGTGGTCGCAGTGCTTGGGCGGGGAGACGGATGGCTCCCGCCTCCGGGCTGGCAGGGACACCCTGCTTTCCAGGACCCAAGTGGGTCTGGAGTGGGAATCCTGGAGAAGGGGGCGGATTCGAATTTGGATTTTTTTTTCGGTTTTCACATTGGAGACCGCGAGGCGGGTCGCGTCTTTAAGCAGGGTCTCAGGGCTGTGGGGGAAGTTTGCCTGGAAAAAGCCGTAAAGTAGGTCATTGAAATGAGACTGGGTGCACCTCTGTTTAAAGCTTGGCTGCTGATCTCTGGTAAGGCTCACCGCCACCTCCTAATATTGTCGCGAGGAGGTGGTTCTTTGGTTCCCTGCAGGAGGAGGCTTGTATTTTAACGGAATATTTGTGTTTCTTTTCCTTCCCTTTTTTTCTCCTCCCCATTCCACCAGTTTGGGGACTTGGGGTGGACCCTTCCCTGCAGATTGACGTCTTAACAGAGTTAGAACTTGGGGAGTTCACGGCTGGAGTGCGCCAAGTCCCCGGGCTGCATAATGGGACGAAAGCCTTTCTCTTTCAAGGTATGATCCAGCGTGACGGTTCCCAGTGCGGTTGCGGTTCCTATAACCCCGGGAGGAGTTGGCCTGGCTGCTCTTCCTAACTTTGTGTGGCCTCGTGTGTGACAGTATCTGAGCTGAGGTGTGAGGGGTCAATGAGAAAAACAGCCGCATCTATCTTTAAAGTGGCCCGTTTTTTCTCCATTCGGCACCCTCCTTCTACTCCTTATTTTGTACTCTTGCCAGTCTAACGGGTTGTCCCTTAATTAACGAATAGAAACTCCCGCGGCAGATGGTTGATTTTGGAGTCTGGGGAACAATGAATTACAACATAAATGCCTCATTTGGGTGAAATTGATTTAGGTAGGAAACAGGATATCTTAATCTTAGTTAAGACTTTATCTCTGAAAGTTTTAAGAACAATGGTCCCTGCAGCAAGACATTTCTTTATAAGGGTTAGTTTTTTGGAAAAATTAATATCTTTCAATATTTTATTGTGTATCACAAACACACTATATCTGAGGGAAGACTCGTTATGGAAAGATTGTCATTGTCCCTTTTCCACCAATGGCAAGAAAAAGGAAATGATATTCTTTTAAAATAATTTGAGAATATTTCAAGTAAAGATTAATCTGGAGGTATGCTTTTTGTAATTATTAATTTTTTTGCTTAGGATTGTAAAACTTTTTTGGAAGTAAGTGGACACTGGCTCTGTACAAATATTATTTTATCATTTCAAATTACAGTTAATTTAAATGTGTTGTGCAGTAAGAAGCAAATTCCAAAGTAATAAGCCTCTACTTTGTTTTTGCAAAGCTTTTGAAGCTTGCTTGACTCATGGAAAGATGTAACATGAGGTTTTTAATGGTAGCTAAATGTATGCTAGATTCACGGATAGTAAGGTATAGGTGAGGGTAAAGAGAAATGGAGATTAGTGTAACATAGCTGATGACCCAAAACATTGTCCCCCAAGCTGCCCACGTCTTTCTTTTGTTGTTTTTGGGACTATCACTTCAAAAAGGAATGCAATTCATAATTACTAAAGAGTTAGATATGCAAAATACAACCATGTTAACACATTTGCCATCCAGAAATAGGAATATAATAAGACTTGAGGGTTTCTCTAGTGGTGTTATTGCCTGTTTTAGCCAGTATGTGTCACCATGGACAGTAACACCACAGTTCACAGTTGGGAAAGAAGGAAACTGACATGTGTTGCATTTATTTAAAACAAGTTTGCCCTTATAAGAAATAAAAATGTGGCTTTCTGTTTTTTAAATGATCATTTTAATTATCTCTTTAGTGTTTTTATTGTGATAAATATTTATTGTGAAGTTTTATTTATGTAAAGATCTTTTTTTCCCGAGGGTGGGGCTTGGATATCAGTCATTGAAAAACAATGACCAAATTTAATAAAAGATACGAGGCTTAACTGTTAGCAAGGTTTCAGACTTGAGTAGAAATGTCATTAGGTTTAAGCTTTTGTTTTTTTCTTGTGCTTTATTTTGTTTTTATCACTGTGAAATAGAAGCAAAGTTATTTTAGTGCTGACAATTTGAATAACTACAAACCTTATAGAATCTAAAGCTTTTAATAAATGACATTGACATGCTCCTCAAATTTCTAATTTCTTAAAATTTTATTATTTTCTCCTTGCTATCTGTAAAGACTGCCTGAATTGTCACAAATAGAAACCTTCAGAGTTGTTCATTTTTATGTGAGACAGTTGAACAATTACATATCAAATAGTTCAAATTTTCTAGGGAACAGTCTTAGAAGACCAATGTCTTTGCTTGGTTATTTAAGAGTATTTTAGAAACATTGATTTCTGTATCAGTTGACAGCTTCTTCAAGGTGGGCATTATATTCCAAAATGAGGCACATGAATTATGGTTTCTTTAAGTCATCTTCGGTAACTAGATATATCAATAGTCATTGATGAGTTGGTTGTTTTTGTTTACTTATTGATATCAAGCCAAATATTGATATAGAGTAAATGCCTTTCAAATATAGTTTATGAGATTTGAAGATGTGGAATTTCATTTTCTGCCAAACTATGAACTTTATTTCATATAGCTTATCAATCAATAAGTATTTATTGCTTGCTGTGTTTCTCATATGTTACTGATGTGTTGATTATGCTGTAGTGATTTCTTTTACCTTAAGATCTGGATTCTGAAACCAACAAGTGGACCTTTGACTCTACATGGTTGTTCTGCACATTACCTTGGAAAGGTTCTTTTCTCTACCATTAGGGTAGAGAAGGTTTTGTCGAGAAGTCAGTTCTGAACCTTGCTGCTTCATTAGATTCCACAAGCTTTTAGAGAGACAAAGGCATATGGATTCTGAAGATTTTATAGATTCCATTTATATTGAATTGAGGACACTGCAGATATTTTATGTAGTGTTTAAAATGTCATAGCGGGAATAGTAACAACTTACAAAACCTGAGATGCTCTCAGATTTCAGGAGCTCATCATACAAGTTCCTCTGCAGTATCAAATTCTAAATGGATTGAAGACATTTTTGAGCTGTGACATTTCTCAGTAACAAAAATCATCATCTTCTGTGTCTTCACTTCAAAAAAATCTCAACTTACATATTCTCATTGATTTTTACTTATTTAGTATTGCTTCTCTTTTTGTCTACATTTTACTCTTTAGTGATTTCATAGATGCATGCAGTTTGGTACTGTATGAAACTGAATAATTTTGTAAATTATTATGAAATATAAATCTATTACTTAACATTTGATTATATGACATAAATGAATAGAAATATATTTCAGAGTCTTATCTTTTTTCTTACTGGACCAACCACACTATCAGTAAAATGTTTTTATTATTGCTGAATTTGATTTATGGCTGTGTAGGAAACTTAATTAATAGAATGTTAAATTAGATCATGCCTTAAGGAATGCAGCTTTTGATCTGTGCCAGTTACAATAATATTTTAAAAAAGTGTCCAAGTAATAGTTTGGAATGCACATCAATATCTTATAGTAATTTATCGCTATAGAATCTGACACATAGCCACAAAAATATACTTTTTATGCTTTTAAAAGAATAGAGGATTGAATGCTGACAATGAAAAGACCTATAAAAGAGTATAAAGAATTCTGAAATTTTAAAGAATAGAACACTACTTTGCTTTAAAGTCTAGGAAATATTTTTCCAAGATAATGATCCTAATAATATTTTTTCTTCAGAATAAAAACATTGAAGATCTGGAATGTGTGTATAGAGAGTCAAAATTCTAGGACTTGCTTGCAAAGTTAACATCAGGTTTATATCTTTGATTTAAGAATTCATCTGGCCACGTTCCAAAAACTGATAGTTTCATCCGTTGGCTTAAGAAGATTTCTTCTGAAGTATTCATAGATTTTATAATCCCATTGATCCCTGAAGAGAAGCAGATAAAATGAAAGATTATTTTTTCCTGAGCTGATAATTTCAATTATACTGGGTAATAATTTTAAAAGAACTTAAGATTTAAAAGTAAAAAAATGTTCATAGGTCTACTCTTATGCCAATATTTGAAAACAGGAATGAAATAAGGCATTTGGCATTGGGCTGTTGGGGAGGCAAAGATAACTGCATTAAGCAAAGTGAGATGGCAGTGAGTACTCATGTTTGGTATGAGGCTTAGTGAGCATCTGTGAATTTAGGGTTGATGGTCATCAGTGCCTCTGAAGGGTGGTGTTCTAGTAGTGGTCTGATAAAAAAGTAGTCTGGAGAAGAGAGAGTGTGAGGGTTCACAGAGGAAGAGAAACACAAGCAAAGGGAATAGTATGAGCCAAGGTCCTGAGCCTACAGTAAGCATTGCACATTGGCAAAAACAGAGTCTAGTGGTGCAGAGATATAGGAGTTGTGATATCAAATGAATCAAGTGAGTAAGGTAGGGATCAAATTACATGGTAGACTATATTAATTTAGTAGAATTGAAAAGGTACTGTTATACAAAGATATATTGTGGTGGGGAGAATAATGTTCCTCCAAAATGTCATGTCTTTGAAAACCCGATAATTTTATGTTACGTGGCAAGGGGAAATTAAGGTCACTAATCAGCCTAACATTTTAGATTCTAAGATATGTGAGGCCGTGTGATGTTTGTCTTTGTGCTGACTTATTTCACTTAACATAATGTATTTTAGGTCTCTCCATCGTCACAGATGACAGGAGCCTTCTTTTTAAGGCAGAACAGTATTCCATTGTGTCTATATACTGCATTTTCTTTATTCATTTATCCGTGATGGACATTTAGGTTGGTTCCATATATTGATTGTTGTGAACAGTTGTGCATTCAATGTAAAAGTTTAAATATCTCTTATTTTTGTTTGTTTATTTTGAGACAGGGTCTTGCTATGTTGTTCAGGCTGGTCCTGAACTAACTGTTTAGCCCCAGACTATCCTTGAAGACCCAGCAATCTTTCTACCTCAGCCTCCAAAGTACTGGGATTACAGACATGCATCACTGTGCCTGGCTTCTGTTTATCTCTTTGAAATATATTTCATTTCTATTGACTATATACTCATAAATAGGATTACTGGTTCATGTAATGTTTCTATTTTTAATTTTTTGAGGGAGCCTCTTGTCACCTGGAGGTGTGACCATCAAACTTGAGTTGTTTCTGTTTCTGAATTCTGAGTGAAGTACAGAAATAAAAGAGTGGAGTTCAGAGAAGTTGCAAAGTGAAAGCAAGGCTTAGTATGAGATATGGAAGACTCCTCTGGAGAGGAGGGACCCCAGAGTGGGGAAGGCTGTTGCTCCTGCAGAGCAGGGCTCACTTTATGAAGGTGTGGGCAGCCTACCTTTCCTGTTCATGCAGTGGAATTTGGTTTTAGATTAGGTTCTTCAGTTTTGTCCCTAAGCATGAAAAGCACTGTGATTTGATTAGCGGTGTTCATGAGCAGGGAAATGTGTTATGATTTGGTGAATGCTGGTGTCATGTGTCAGGGCCATTTCAGGCTTGGTTTCCCCAATCCCTGCCCCTTGTCTGTTTCTAGGAGGTTTTACTTTCCCTT